CTTAACTCTTTAGTAATTTTAGAGTATTTCTCTTGGTCTATTTGTTATGAATTTTTCACACAGAATAAAGGGTAGCTGCTGTGTTCATATATAAAAATCAGAATTGAAAAAAAGGAAAAAAGAGAATTATTTTTTTGGGCAGTTATGTTATAATACATATGTATGTCCTTAGTTTCTGATTATATAAATGTAGGTGTTTATTTATTTGAACTATATCTCTCTCTCTCTCTCTCTCTCTCTCTCTCTCTCTCTCTCTCTCTCTCTCTCTCTCTCTCTCTCTCTCTCAGACGGAGATGGCCATGTATAAGGAGGTGTGTTATTACATGCTGTTTGCGATGGCTGCGTATGGCTGGCCCATGTACCTGCTGAGAAAACCAGCCTGTGGACTCTGCAGGCTCCTCAGCTCCTGCACGTAAGATTCAGTATCTCAGCGCTTAAATATGTTACTTAAGAAAATAATTATACTGCAAAATCACATCATTCTGCTGTCTTAAAAAGTCTAAAATGTTTTGTTTAATTACCATTTTATTCTTTCCAGTCGTGGTAATTTTAACACTATAAAGTTTGGTCAGTAGGGGGAGCAGTGCACTCTCTCCAGTCCACCTCAAACTCTGCCTATGATCACAGCCATTGGTTCACAAGCTGTTAAATGCTGTCGGTTTATTGGCTCCCTACCAAAATATCTGCATATATTAGGCCTTGCTTCATGAGGTGCTGGTAGGCTGGTGCTTGATTTCACGCACGGAAGCTTATTCAGCGCTTTAATCTCTGCTCGTTTGCACATCAGGAATCAGGCACAGAGCAGTTTGTACGTTGTTAAGGACGGGCAAATCTGCGTTCTTTTTTTCACGACTTGGATAAAGACCACTGTTTGTGTGGAAGATGGCAAAATAAAAGCTAGATTACAAATTCATTTGCTATAAATAATCATGCTCTCTCTCTCTCTCTTTCTCTCTCTCATATTAGCTGTACATCTGGATCTGGCTCTCGTCTGTCTCAGTCAGTAACAGTAGAGGAGGATAACTGCTGTGGCTGTAATGTTCTGGCCATCCGCCGCCAGTTTCTGGATCGAGACCTCAAACAGGTCCAAATCGTCTACACATCCTGCCATGATGCGGTGAGAAAACATCAAAAACTGAAACCTTAAAGCGACGGTTCAGCCAAAAGTTACAGTTTATACAGGGTTTCTCCACTTATCACTAATGTAGTCGATCAGCCAAGACATGTTTGGTGTTTGAAATTACTTCTTTAGGTTTTCCACTGGAGCTACGAGGCTAATGTAGCTAACAAGTAATGGAAGCTTATACTGCACCAATTAGCATCAGGCCTAAATCATCAGACGTTCACATCAGTCAGTGTGGAATTGTTCAGTAACCTATAATAGAAGATAGGTCTTGGCTGATCGACAACGCTCTTAAAGTCTCAAACCCACAGCGTTGCCTCCACAGTTTACGGTTTGCATCAGTAGAGCTGCATTCATCAGTGTTTGCAGTGCCTCTGGCTTCATCTGCTAATTTTGCATATGTGCAGTATTTTCAAAGTTTGAATGGGGAATGAAATGTGGTTTTCAGCCACACTCATAGTGCTGACAGTGTGTCTACACAGGTCTCATCAGATAAGGAAGGAAGGAAGTTTGAGTAGTTTTAGTCTAAACATACTCAAATTCCTTAGTGCTGATATTACAGCGTAGTTAGCTGTGATTGGATGAAAGCGAAAATGTCAGCCAATCACAGTGTCTCTTATTCCATAATGGAATTTGAGAGTTTTGAGTGTCATAAATGGCCAGTTAGCCAGGAAGAAGTTTGCTTACAAGGCCTTCTTTGTAATGCAGTTTGTGATTTGACTGTGCACTGTTTATGGTAAAATGATAATATTATAGTGATATTGGTGACCTCAATATAATCAAATATAAACAGTATAATTCCATGTTTTTTTGTTTTTTTTTTGCTGAATTTGTTAATTTTTTTTTAAAGTGAAAACACATCCTCTACAGAGAACACAGTTAAATATGGAATTGGTCTGCACATTTTAATAGATGATTTCTGTTAATTTGCTGAGTTTAACATATTGGAAGAAAATAAAATATAAAATGTGTTATAAATTTACATTGTCTGTTTTTATTTATTTATTTTTTTACCAATATGTTAAATATATACACACAAACACGTGTATTAGTTTAAAGAGATGATGTATTCTGAACTGCAGTGATACTGTGATATGAACATTGGAGTGACATTGGAATTTTTGGGTAATGTACAGCACTAGAGGATATTAATGTTCTCTTTGTGCCTCAAAATAGTGTTGATTTATTGAAGATCTATGGTTATTTTAGGTGTATGAGACGCCGTTCTTTGTAGCAGTGGATCATGGGAAGAAGAAAGTTGTCATCAGCATCAGGGGAACCCTGTCGCCTAAAGTGAGTACACGCACTCGCTCAGACCTTCTGACTGAACTACATGAGAATTACCCTCCAACACTGACAGACCCGTCCACTTTACACTCTTCTGCTCGTCTGCTTTTCTACTTTCTTTCTGTCTCTCTTTATTCTCACTATCGCTCTCACTCTCTCTCTCTTTTCTCTCTTTCTCTCACTCTTCCTTAATGTTTTTTACTCTTTACTTTGTCTATTTATTTTTCTTACTTTTTTGTATTTTCCTCCTTGGCACTTTTACTCTCTCTTTCCCCCTCTTTCCTGCCCTTATCTTCTCTTTCTCTCTCGCTCTCTCTTCTCCCTTCTCTCTTCTTTCTGTGGCTCTCCCTCGTTTTTCTCTGGCTCTCCCTATTTTCTTTCTCTCGCTTGTGTCTTTCTGCCTTGTCCTCTTTCATGCTCTTACTTTCTCTCCCTTTCTTGTCTTTCTCTCTCTTGCTGACTTCTCTCCTTTCTCTCTCTCTCTTTCTCTTGCTCTGTCCTCCTTACGTGCTTGTTCTTTCTCTCCTTCTTTCCCTAAACACTTATCTACATTCTTTCTCTCTCTCTCTCTCTCTCCCTCTCTCCCTCTGCCTCTCCCTCTCTCTCTCTCTCTCTCTCTCTCTCTCTCTCTCTCTCTCTCTCTCTCTCTCTCTCTGTGTCTGTCTCTCAGGATGCTCTAACTGATCTCACTGGGGATTCAGAGCGTTTGCCGGTTGAGGAGCAGCATGGAGTTTGGCTCGGGCACAAGGTACCCACACATACTGTAAAACAAACAGGTGTTTAACCTGGTGCTCAAACAGAGAACCTGCTAAATGTCTGTCTATCTGTCTGTCTCTCTCTCTCTCTCTCTCTCTCTCTCTCTCTCTCTCTCTCTCTCTCTCTCTCTCTTTCTCTCTCTCTCTTTCTCTCTCTCTGTGTTTTGTAGGGAATGGTTTACTCAGCAGAATACATTAAGAAGAAACTGGAACAAGAGATGATTCTGTCTCAGGCCTTCGGGAGAGATTTGGTATGTTTGTAATAAGGATAATAACATACTTAAAGACATTTTCATTTATCTGATGTTTACAAACACACTGGAACAGACAGTGCATTTACAACACGGTAATGCCTCCCTACAAAGTACAAAGTGATCAAGTCATAAAGAATGTAGTATGTAGTTTCAAAACATTCACTCCCCAGTCCATACAGTAAATACATGAAAACTAAGCTGCATAGACAACCTGTTTTGAATTTATTGTTTCTTTGATGTCACAAAAAACCCAGATTTATATTGCTGTTTAGCCCCACCGACTCACATTGATATTTTAAGGAGTGTTCCAGCCTGGACTGCTTTTTGAATGAAACAAAACACAGGGCAGCTAATCAGAATTTGCCAAAACAGCATTTTTTTGCGGTGTAGATGTTTGAGGAGTGAGTTAGTCACTAAGGCTGCATGTTTTTGACATAATTTATCATTATAATAATAACTTTTAGTTATATTGCCCACGCCTGTGTATATGTGGTTGAATATGATTGACTCAGTGCTGTTGTTTTTCATGTGTTTCTCTCTTAAGACTGTCTGTTTTCTTGTTTATCTCAGAGTAAAGGAACCATGCATTATGGGCTGGTGATAGTGGGCCACTCTCTGGGCGCCGGAACCGCCGCCATTCTCTCCTTCCTGCTCCGCCCACAGTATCCCACACTGCACTGCTACTCCTACTCTCCGCCCGGGGGGCTTCTCAGGTCAGCCTCAAGACGCTGGAGCGTTTCACATTCGGCTCTTACATTCAGCTCCCGGCAAAGGATATTAGGCAACATGCCATCCGTTACAGTGTAATATTGCTCAGTAGACCAGCCCTGCGCTGAGCCTCCCCTATTGTTTTGTTAGATTGCTGACAGCAGAGTTTAGATGTAGCGCACTTAGCCAGACAAAGAGAAAGGAGAAATGATGGGAAAGCCCATTAAGTGTATATAATACATTCATTCTTGTGGGGGGCTTATCTAAATGACCTCAGTAAAACCCTCCATCTCAATCCATTAAGCACTTTTCTTTTTTTTTTTCGCAATGCAAAGCAGCCCCGTGTGCAGTGGGGCCTAATAGAGATAAGTCAAACCCTCCAGTGTGTTCAGATTTTACTTTTATGGTTCACTTCAGAAACAAAGCAATGGGTTTGGCTCCTGTTACTGGCAATGGGGCTTACATTTCTCTTATGTAATTGCCTCTATAGTAGCTGCCTGATAAACTTTCAGTATCGTCTCAGTTCAAGGAGTCACTGTTTTGGCTGCAGAAGCTGTTATAGGAATAGTTTTGGCGAAAAATTACATTTACAGTTTTCCCCACTTGACGTGTTTGAAGTTTGCTTAGATTTGCTCTGGAGCTACGAGGCTAACAAGCAATGAAAGCTGAAAGCAACTAATTCAATTTTTTCCAAATCCAAAGTTTTACTTCTTTTTAACTTTCTGTGTAACTCAGCGCAGGGGTACACTGGGGTAACCATGCCAATGAGTCTCATGGCTGGAATTATAGAAATTTACAGTCTCATCACATTATTTAAAACTGCTTATCTGGGCATTAAGTGTGTCTTTGCTTGTAAAAACAGAATTTATAATT